TTGAGGGGTGTGGTTCGAAAAAGAACGACATGCTATCTCTTCTTGCTCCCATATAACATCCCATGAACCGACTGTAGCACTGATCCCGCATGACCGTAGATGCAGGAGTGGCCATAAGCGGACCTTCGTCAATGCAAAACTCCTTTTGCACTTCTACAGCGGCTTTTGAGTCGAAAGAACATGACTACTGCGCGACCAAATTCATACTCGATCAGCTCAAAAACATTATAAGATGCAACTTTTGTCTTTGTTGGAAAATTTGTTTGCTCTATCTTCTGCCATCAGTCCAGATGCAATCTTTCAAGCAGCTCTTAAGCGGGTAAAAATGGGTTCAAAACTTAGGCGACCTATAAGAATAGACCATGGAATCTTAGAATTAGCCGAAAGCATAGCTGGAAAGACGAAGTGGAATGTCTTCGAGTAACGTTCATCTATTATCACATCTCAGATGAAGGAAAGAAAGTTTTTATCACTCGGCCTCATCTATACATATACAAAGCTGAATGCTGGTGAATTGTTAGTTAGTGTGCTATAGGGGCCTGCAGGATCGCGAGAGTCGGACGCGCGTACGGCCTTTGCGCCGCGCACGCCTGATATCGCTGGGTCGTAGTCGATTAAGGCTAGATAGGTAAGTTTTTTTTTTGTTTTTCTTTACATTTCACGCCTTCTTTTCTTTTCAGACGGTGAGCACATGTTGGTGCGGAGGAGTTTAAGATCTGAATTAAGGTGAGGTGCAGGATTATGCTCAATACGGACTCAATATTGCAGACCTTCCATGCCTGCTGGTTGAGATGTTGGATTTTCTGTCCTGGCTGCCCTGTTACAGCAAACTGTTCTATTTCTACCGTCTATTCTACCTTATCTTGCATATTGCTTGTGATTATGATGATGATGATGACAAATATGATTGTGATGACGCGCATGATGCAAGATGAGGTAGAACAGACGTTGCAAATAAAACGGAGTTTCGTAAGCGTAAGCATAATCCTGCACCTCACCTTAACCGGGCAAGCAGGACGAAAAATCGAACATAATCGGACAGCCAGAACAGAAAAACTCAACATTCTTCAAAGCAGGGGTGAAAAGTCCACAATATTGGCCCGTATTTAGCATAATCCTGCACCTCACCTTAATCTAGATCTTAAACTCCTCTGCACCAACATATGTTCGCCGCCTGAAAAGAAAAGAAGGCGAGAAATGAGAAGAAAAACAAAAAAATCTCACCTATCCAGCCTAAATCGAGTACGACCTAGTGGCATACGACGTGCGCGGCGCAATGGCCGTACGCACGTCCGACTCTCGCGATCCTGCAGGCCCCTATATTTGTAGAAATTTTTGTGTGTGGACCGATCAGCGCCAAACATTGTACACATATAGATTCAACGCCGGTCCACCCCATGACTATTTTCGCGACGAAAATCCCACTTCTTCTACTGATTTATCGATTTTGAAGAAAAATGAACTCTTATTATGTATCATCAAACCAATTCCAACTTTCATATAATTAACAGCGATAGAACTCATTTTCAATCCACGATAAGGGAGATTCGGTAATCCACGGCGATGTGGTCGGGAAGTACCTGCCCTGCGTTATCTAATATATAAGAATATATAAAGAATCGTAGCGCGGACTCAAAAAAAACATTAGATAGCGAGGAATCGCGGGCGGTCCCGAAACGCGCGGATGCAATTAAGCACCTTTGATTACTGGTTCACTAGTAAGGGAAAGAGAGCAGATAACTTGAACATTTGGAGTCATGGACCAATTTTGTCCCTAGTTGAGCTAGTTAAACCTACGATGCAATCGATGCTAGACATGCCAGCTGATCCTTATATACTCGGCCAAGTAGTAAAAATCGTATCATTTTTCTAATTCCTGCTTCTTTCTCCTCTCTTGTCAGTTCACGTAGAACACGTAATATTAGTGTTGTCAATCCTATATATCAAAGTAGGTAGAACTTAGCCAGACGCTAAAAAACTTGTGTATACACAATCAAATCACCCGGTGTCAGTCATATTTACCATGATTGGGTGTGCTTGTATTATAAATTAATTTTCAGGCGTAGGAGAAAATGAAAAGTTAGAGTAAAGAGTTAACAGCTGCAAAAAAGTGGGCAGCCAAATAGATGAGCAGTAATGCTCAGCACAAGAATGACGTCTACCCCAAAAACATCAAGTACGCCCAAACAGCTAGCAGAGACAGACACGTGTCGTCTGAGAATCAAAATTTGAGCAGAAACATTTGGCAAAGTGTAGTGAATGAACAAACTCCATAAAACAGTACAATATAGGCAACTAATTACCTTGAAACAAAAATTCTCGATTAGAGGGTGACGAGAAGAAGTGCAAGCGTTTGAAAACATACTTCGGTTTAGTGTAGCATTGGAGTAAAATGGATTGAAATGAGCAAAAAAGGTTTGTCGAAACAATGCTTGGTTTTGCACGAATTTTGAGCTATAACGTGGAAGAGAAAGTGCACCACTACTTGCCGTACATCAGTTTCTTGCATAATCTTATATATAAAGCTGAATGTCTGTTTGTCTGTCTGTATGTATGTCTGTCTGTATGTATGTCTGTCTGTACGTATGTTCCGAATAGAAAATTCCATTAACCGATCCGGACCAAACTTGGCACACATACACTACGGGCCCCGGCGGGTGTCATAGGCTACTTTCAGCGTCAAGATGTTTCTGATAACAATATATTCTTCAACCTTTTTTCGTCAAACCGTTGTTTCACGCATTGAATTTTTCATTGATTCGATATTGCCTGTTTCCTGTCAAAAAATATGGATGCTCTATTTGGATGGAAAATCAGCACAGCATTACGACATTCTTTAACTCAAGAAAGAAATATGAAAAAAGAGGGTGTCCGCTGAAGATCATTGCATATGATTTTTGAAAATTTTTAAAAATTCAAGCGAGCCTCATAAAAAGAATTTTTTCGGGGGCGTGGCTGACGCCACGCCCCCTTTTTCCAGATTTTAGGGGTTGGGGACCCGCACAAATTTTGAGAAGCACCCCAAAAATTTTTTCGGAGTGCGTGGCTAACGCCACGCACATTCATTTAGAAAATTTTTTTGTCGCGCTCCCCCCCCCCCCGGTCCGAAATCCTGCGACCGCCACTGGAAATTGCCAAGCGCGGCATACGGCAGTGTTCAATGTGTTTAGGCAGTGGCGGGAGAAAAGCACGGAAGAGGCCGGGGGGGGGGGGGGGTAGCTGAGGAATTTCCAGAACAGTGGGACCCATGAACCTGCGTTCTATAAAAAGGAAGTTAGGTTAGTTTTGAAAAAATCGCGACTTATTCTCCGCTAGGCTAGATATACACAGTTTCAGGTATACAGCTTTCTTCTCCTCCTCAAAAGCGCTTCCTTCCACATCTTTGCATATGTCTCCTCCATGTACTGCTTCCACTGCTTTCCCTTCCATCCATAATGTATCATAACAAAATTTCTCGCTGCCTTGTAAGAAACAGCCCTATTTTCCTATCTACTAAAATCCTTCACTGTTGGGCGAACTATTATAAGTATGGGAATATGGAAAAAAGATTGTTCAGTACACTATCTTAATTTAAACCTTATACTACCAATGGACTTGTGGGATAAAAACCTTGCCCAAGTGCGTAGCGGTAATCTTCCTCGCTGTTATCGTTTATGCAACTAAAAGATGTGGATAGAATAAAATGGAACCTACTTGAAACCGCACGCAAGAACATATCCGGGGCGGAAAAGAGCGCTCCAGAAGAAAGCTGTATACCTGAAACTGTGTATATCTAGCCTAGCTGCCGGAGAATAAGTCGCGATTTTTTCAAAACTAACCTAACTTCCTTTTTATAGAACGCAGGTTCGTGGATCCCATTGTTCTGGAAATTCTTCAGCTTCCCCCCCCCCCTCCCGGCCTCTTCCGTGCTTTTCTCCCGCCACTGCCTAAACACATTGAACACTGCCAAGCGATTCCAAGGCGTTTAGCGGTGCCACACATTGGCGATCCGCCAAATGTCTTCAAATCCACCATGCTCAGATTTCAAATGCATGAGGTTGAATCAGAGTTGCGGCGTTGCTGCGTAAGCTGGAAGATCAACGCAGGTCGGTCTAAAAGCTTCTATGCCCGGCCCTTTAGGCCTCTAATATAGTTCACGCGCGTTTATTGCCTCGCAAGACTACTCACGACTAAACACCACAACCGAAATGTGATCGACATGAACAATGTGATCGACATGAATTGCACTCGTAGCAGTTGTCTCAAAATCAATAAAACGCGTGGACTATGCCCAAGGCCCTATGGGCCTGGCATACATCAAGCGAATTCATCGTCTCGCAATTCTCCTGACAACGCAACTACTAGTTCAATTCATGCTGTTCATTTATCTTGCATTTTGGTTGCGATAGTTAATCGTCATTCGTCGTGTCGGAAAACTTTGGACAACCGAAATGCAAGATGATCGGCATGCAATGGACTCGTAACAGTGTCTTGTCAGGAGAATCGCGAAGCGATGAAATCGCTTGAAGTATGCCCGACTCTCTACATACATCGCAGATGTGAAAAGACTTCTTATACCCCTTTAACCACAGAAAAGTTGTGCAGGTATTTCTCAACTCATAAAAACTTCTTGACACTTCATAACAAGAATTTTGAATTTTTGAATTTTCCTGAGAAACCGCCACCGTCTTTCCTCTCTCCTTTTACTTCAGTGTAGAATAGTGCGTCGGTTTACATGAAGCTGTGCCGATGCAGTACGGATCTAATTCAATTGTGTAGAGGCACAAGCGTGGGGAAAAGATCGGGCTCCTTCATACTACGCCGCGTCCTGCGGCGTAGTATGAAGGAACCCATCAACTACTAAAAACATATTGAGAGAAGTTACAATTCTTCAAATCGGGATGCGAGCCATTCTATGTCCTTGGGTAACAGAATAGGTTTCCTCTCAGCTCTTGGCATTCTGGAAACAGTGTGCTGATTACTTAAACAATTGCAACATCATTACTTTATTGTTGGTATATATTCGACATGTCTCATGTGTAATTGTGCTCAAAATAATTGGTAAAGTAAGCTAGCTATAACTCTGCGCTTGGATACGGTGTTTTCTTCACAGCGAGTTGTTTTAACGTGCCATCACTATGCTGCAATGCGTATTTGTTAGCCGATCATCTCTACAATGAAGGCTTAGCTTACACTGGCCATCGTCCTTTGCAAGGCGTACAATTTCGAGTCATCAAAACCTTCCTTTGGCTTTGGAAATTGGGCACCTTTTGGGGTTTCCTTTTTAGTCTGGATTGAGATCATTTCTTCGGATGCTTTGGAGATGTTGATTTTCTAAAAAAGCTTACATAACTAAATTTCTTTTCTTAACATTTTTCGTACAGTCAGAGAAGGAGCGTCGTTGACTGTTTCATCTTCCGCTTTCTTATCATCAGCATCTTTTCGTTCAGTCTTCAGAAAACTCAATGTTTCAAGCTGAAATAATTCGTAACATCTGGTTGTACAGATTGATTATCGATATCTGTCCATTTCATGAATTAAAAGGGTAATTAGCGCGAAAAGCGAACGATCTTATTATGCGTGATTTTTGTAACTGCGAAAAATTCTGATAGGATAAAACAAATGCATGTAAGTTTATATACTCACTACAAATACATGTTTCTTTCCTTCTTTGCTTTTTATGTCATCCTTTTTCAAAGCACTCTATAAAAAACTCATTTGTGCACAATTATTAAATCATCGAGCCTCACATCTTTAGGCGTCTCTGCTTGTTTATGTGCTGAATCTGCAACCGAAGAGTGATCTTTTATCGTGGGTCTAAACATATTACCTGAAGATCCGACAGGTGGTAGTTTGACGTCTGCACTGATTTCAGCTTTCTTAGGTTCTGAACTACTTGCTTGCTGATCACTGGTCGCTTTCCCCAAATTTGGTTTAGAAATTTGTGTCTCTTTGCTTTTGTCGGACGTCACGGATGGGTGCGTGTCCTGTGCATTATTCCAGTCCGCACGATTTGATTTTGCTGTTACTTCCACAATCTCTGACGCGCTGCTAGCCCCCTACATACTCAACTAATGATTTTCAACATTGCAGACAATTAGCTTAAAAGATGTACCTTTGCAGTGACTTCCGTCTTTTCGGATACTTCTGCTCTCCGCTTGTGACAGCTAATGACTGCCAGCGAAGCACAAATGAATACTTGCGAGTAACACATCACTGTGTACATAACACTTAAAATCATGCTTTCATTAAGGCATTTTTAACTTTCACTCCACTTTTTGTTTTGGAAAAATATGAGCTTACACTTGTCAAATTGGAAATTTCATTTTAGCCAGGTCATTTGCAAATTGATGCACAGATCAGTAGAACAGCCTTACATCTCTCTGTGTACTTTAGAATGCTGCGTGAGAGGATCGGTAAGTTCTAAGTTGCACAAGTCTTAACGGAGTGCTCATCTGCGCATTATCTCAGCTCAAAGGTTACAGTATTCTCCGGTTGCACTCCAAAATCTGTGTCAACGAAGTGCTCCCCTTTTGGTCGGTTTAAGCGCAACGCTAAAGTCCCGTGGAGCGTTCGTGGTGTACCGTTTGAGCGTTCAATGTGGCATCGATTGAAGATCGCTGCTAATGCCCGTGCTTTGCAAATGTGCATATACTGCGGAAAAGGGAGCAGTGGCTGACACAGATTGTACGCTACACTCTAAGTTTGGAATGTGCATCTAACAACGGAATGGTCAGAAATGAAGTGGCCAATCCAAACAAGCTGCATACCATTAGATGCAGCATAAAACGCTGACCTCAAATCTGTATTTTACACTGCTTAGCGCTTATGGCTGCGAAGTTATGAGCGGTCAAAGGTCGTTATTAATCACGCAAAAAAGCGCAAATTTGGAAGTTTAGAGCCATACTCCGCTTAATGCTAGACCAAACATGCAACTATGTTACTATGTATTAAAGTATAAGGCCTCGGGCGAGTTCACGCGATTTGACGTCGCAGCTACAAGGCGGTTACGAGTTCACTGCATGCCGATCTTTTTGTATTTCGGTTGTGATCACGATTAGTTGTGTTGGAAAACTATCACAACCGAAATGCAAAAATATCTGCATGCAATGAACTCAACACTTATCTTGTAGCGATTAAATCGCGACGATCAAATCGCGTGAACTGAACTCTGCCCGAGGCCTAAAGGCGAGCTGAAAGTGCAACAATGTGCTCAGTTTCGCATTTCTACTCGCAATAAAACTGCATGACCTCGTTTACAGAGGCGCTGAGCAGATATGGAATACTTCAAATGGAATAGAGTTTCCAAATCAGCGTTGAATGCTGCATCGAAAGCTAGGCACCTTGCTTAGCTTGTCCACTTTGGTTTCTGTGCTTTCCCTTGTAAGATGAAGAGCAATCGGATATCAACAACAATCAAATAAAAGGGTTGAAGTACGAGTTCGATGTAAAACCTGTCTTTTGTAGCATGTACCCTTTTGAGTACACGGCTGACTCCTTTTAGAGAAGATGTGGTCCGGAGATTTCGTTAATTGAAGCAGCAAAGCGACTTACTTAGCGTCAATATGCTGCTACCACTGCATCAACCACCTATGATGGCGTATAATGAAATATGGTCATCTCACTAGCCGCATACTCAGGGAGTCAAAATATTTATAGTTTCTTGCACGTAATCATCCTCAAAAGTAATGTTACAAATTATTTGAACAATGGGGCGACTTGTGTTTCACATGCTTGAATAAAACGGATCGGTCTGAAGGACCCGCACGCGTGAATTTGATTGAATGGTTCTGGTAACGGCTAATTATGAAGCTTCATATTATTCTTATTCCCTTATACGGAGAGGGTTCCAAGAGACAAACTGTTCAATGACTAATGACTCCTTTGCCTAAAAGCAGTGGCTCGGCAAATTTTCAACTTACTTTCCTGAGGTTATCCGATCAGCCCAATTCTGAAAATCCACTTGGAAAGATTGGTAAAGGCGGAAAAGAGAGCATTCCCCAAGGCCCTTCGTTTGCATTTTGACAAGTGGAACAGTCTCCGCTAACTCAGACAATCGCTGGGGGCAGGCGGGCACCGGAAAAGTAGATTGCTGATCTCTCGCACCCCGCTCGCGGATTTTTTGCAAAGCAATCAGGACTTTTCGGAAGACCGCTCCCTGAGTCAGCGGATTTTTGAGAGACCGCCTGTTGAATTTTTTTCGCTCTTATCTTTTGCAGATACATTGCTGAATCTCTGAGGAATCGAGAACTCAGCAAGCGGTCTTCCGAAAAGTCCTGATTGCTTTCCAAAAAATCCGCGAGCGGGGTGCGAGAGATCAGCAATCTACTTTTCCGGTGCCCGCCTGCCCCCGGCGATTGTCTGAGAAGGAGAGACCGCAAATCGTTGCGGAACCATTTTGGTTATAACATTGTCATGGTCTTCCAACTGGAAGATGACCGGCACATCATTTGATAGCTTTCGCCGAATTTCGGGTGGCAATCCATTCCGTAGTGCCGGTTTTCGCTTAGGATTGCAATAAGAACTCACCGATCTCTGGCTTAAGAGAGCTCCCAGCATACCGTCATCGCGAATTTTTTGTTGTTCCAGAAAAACCAAAGCTTACTCAAATTACAGAATTGCAAAGCTTTTTAAACGGTATAGTAACATTTTCAGGAGTGGGGAAACCGCTCATCGGTAGTTGACATCACTTTTGGACGAAGCATAATGAAATAGTGTAACTTCGTGAATAAACTTCAACCTAATGGGAGGTATTAGGTTGGTGCAAAAGTAATGGCCGATTTGCGAATTCTCATTTTGACGTGCTATAACTTTTGGAAGAATTCACATTTCCGAATGCGGTAAAAACTCTAGGTACCGAACAGCTGGATGTTTTTGCAAAAACTGCTAACAGGATGCCCTAGCCCTACGCTTACAGAATTGAGCAAAGCTCCGGCGATTGACTTCTTCAGAAGAAAATTATGGATCATAAAATGACCGCGACAGCTACCCATGTTTAGGCGCCGATATCTCAGTCTAGATAGCCTCAAAGAACACAGTCAAGTATGCATAATGTAGACAATTTCTATTTCATACAATAGCCAAGTTTTCGAAGAAATCCCATTGATACGCGCTTGAATTCTGGCCGGAAAAGTGAAAGCAATGAAATTCTGAATTTGGATGCGGTTATTTGAAGCTCAGTAACTTTATAACAGATGAGGATGAGAGCACGTTTCAAGCATCGTTAGATAGAGCATGGAAACGGCTTCGCGATGGTCTACTACATCCATTGTAAAGAAGAAGTATTGATGGAAAAAAGTTGTTTTGAAAAAAGGTTTGGAAAATCGGCCATTACTTTTGCACCAACCTAATAGTAACTGCTTCGCTTTCATTTTAAGGCGTGTGACTTTGAAAAAAATTTCATAGCTACCCCATACTTGCAACAAAGAACCATAGTTTGTTTGCTCTATGTCGTAAATCTAAGTTAATGCCACTCTACAAAATAGTTTCGAACATCGGCGAAGGACATTAGCAAGTGAGAATTAAACAATCAAACATGTATACACATTTACATTTACCTTGCATATCATTGACCACATGCAAGAAACCATACACAAAACATGGTAACACGAATAACCCGAGAACACAAGTGTAACACGAGTAACACTAATAAAATAGTAAGATGGGTAACATTGATAATGTACAGTTAAAGCTTATCATAGTTATCAATAGAACTACATTTACTATGTTTCCAAATGATGGTAGGTCGGTGGTGTTATACTGCATTTATACCCATCACCTCTTGCTTCATGTGCTACAAGTAAGTTTACAAATAATAGTCAAGCTCAACTTGCACATGGCGAAACATGCAAGACTTCAGAAACTTCTTTTCTCGATTGGTTTGATCCCAAAATTTACACTGTCACAACAAAATGTTCTCTTTCATCACGGGCTATTTCATAAGCGTAACTCACACAGTTCAGAAGCACATATGTTGGTAGGGAAGGCGGTTATAAATTAGACCGAAAGTCACAGTTGGAAACAACATCATGCTCACTGGGATGCGCCTTTGAGGTAAGATGTTAGAAAAAGCCATATGTACATACATGCCACTCTAGGGGAACAGATTAACACAGTTCTTCATGGCTAAATCATTCTATGAAGCCGTGAGTCGCGCTATCAGTTGCCTGGAAAGTCCGAGCACCGCCGGCTTTAGAAACCAGAAAGAAGCAGTTTCTTTATGACTGGATTGTAAGAACGTTAACGCGCGTTGAAAATATCAGGAACAACTGCCTTTCAAAATGTAAAATTTGACCCTAGCTTTCTTTTTGCAATGTACATGCATAAGTTATTGATTTAAAACTATTTTCTGGAAGCGAGGGATGCGCATATTTGGTTTGTACGCCTCCACTGTTCGCGATTCTGCGGTGACGAACTCAGATTACGATCCAAGAAAAAGGAAAACTTGGTTAAACCATTGCTTTTACAGGAGAAAACAATTGGAAAAGCTGCACATGCCACACTCGAGTGTCTCTCCAAGAAAGAGACTATTACTGCTTCTGGTTGCAAGGTGAGCCAGATTTTTCGAGCATTCCTGTATTGTATAAGTTATATCGATGAACTCGCCATTGGTGCTCTTTTAGTTGCGTAATATTTTCTACACAGTTGTGGTTACTCTTTATCAATGCATCAAATGCTGTAGCTGAAATGCACGTTGACAAAGAATAAAAGTTGTTGCCATAAATAATTGCCAGTTTATAGAAATAGAACGGGCGGAAAGATAGCTGTCATCAGTGTTTGATTGAATGCTGTTCGCGGGAATCTCAAAAGCATCTCTTATTTTGACCAAGACCTTTTCCCATCTGCTGAGATTGCACATTTGCAAAATCATCTACCATTCTACCAAACCTATGATTCTTGTTTCCATCCGCAATATACTTATAGTTCGATCCCTATTGTCAAATGTCTGTGTACCTTAGCCCACAATTTTAGAAACTAGTTTAAAATGTGCAATACGCTGCAAATAGAACATCTGTTAAGGCTAGTGAGTGGAAGAATAAGGGCTTAAAAACAGAAATTTAACGTTTAATTTGGAGAAGAGCCTGGGGCAATGGTTTCAATCATTTTTAAGAGTAGTTGCAAGGCGATCTAAAATCTACAAAACTTTATTTGGATGAGGAACGTTTGCTGCAACAGCTCATTGATGTTTCAAGCCTGCAAAACTGAAATAATGTCCACTGACGCCTATCTATTATACATTACGCTTGAAGGCACCTATCGAGGTCATGAGTTTTACCGCGGTACAGCAGCGGTGCCGCATAATAAGTACTTGCTCAAGTCGCTCAGAAGATGGATTACGATGCAAAAAAGCGCTTCAGAAGGTACCACTACGAGCATGTCCGTGTCACCCATCAACCTTGGTAATTCAAAATTAATATTTACTAATTTGTCCAAATAGCTACATATGGGCGGTCACTCAGCATCGGTCAATGGCTACGAGGTTGAGGCTACGTATGCGCGTCGCAAGTAGCGGATAGGGGAGTCTGGCGCAGAAACGGGCTTGTGGTCAATTTTGTAAGGCCGACTCCAGTTTTCGTCCCGCTTGTTTCTCCATTTATTTGGACAGTAAGCTTCGCTAATTGTTTTGCTAGGTTGTCAATCCTATTTATGCATGCATGTGTAGCTAAGTTAATTTCATGTTGAACACAGAGTATTACTAGTGTTGTCAACGTGGAGTACTCTGTTAGCTTCTTTATTCCACCTACGAGTGCGTCACCTCTGCTTCGCAGACATGCCTTACTCATTCGTGCAAGGATGGCATTATAACTCACTGCGCACTGCTGACTATCACAAATGAACTGTAAACAATTACTCATTCCAAACTTTTTCATGCAAGATCGGTAGTATCGCGAAACGAAATTTTTTTTAGAAGGACATATGAAAATTTGAATCAATTTTCGAACTTTTATTTCGGTAGTCGCTTCATCGACTTTTTATTTCTTGGTACTCGTCATAAGGTACAATAATCACCGTGGGCTACAGGTCTGGACAAAAGTTTCTCAAATGCCAAATAAAACTTCTACAAATTGACCATTTATGCGACCAACTCGTTTCGGCGAAGCTTCCGTAAAGTAGTGGACTTTTGATCATTTTTTGGGCTGGAGCCCGTTGCTTAACATTCATATGTCAGATATATTCACCACTTTGCCAAAAGTGGGTTTACGACCCAATTTCGCGGGTTAAAAGCCAAGCGGATCTTCTCGACACACAGTTTCAAGGAATCCGCTAGTGATCTTGTATGATGGACTTTCAGCGGTCAGCATGCGCTTGCAAAAATGGGCCCAAAACGTTGGTTGGATATTACGAATTTCGTAATGGACACACACACACACACACACACACACACACACACACACACACACACACACACACACACACACACACACACACACACACACACACACACACACACACACACACACACACACACACACACACACACACACACACACACACACACACACACACACACACACACACACACACACACACACACACACACACACACACACACACACACACACACACACACACACACACACACACACACACACACACACACACACACACACACACACACACACACACACATACA